TTTTCATGGTTTACAAAAGTATGTGCATTGTCTCTTTTTCAGGTTGTGTTTTCTACAGATTGATTACATTTGTTGGGAGACTTTAGTGTTGTATACAGTATAAGGTTGGGGAAGAAAAGGGGGCAGAGAGGGGGGAATGGGATGGTAAAACCTATATTCTTTTACTTAGTGTATGTGCGGGGTTTTGTGTCAGCATCACTTGGGAAGGTTCTCTTTCTAGCCACTTGTTATATTTCCTTGATAGAGAGGTTGAAGGGGGACGGGGCATGTTTCGTGGTTTTAGCTGGCTGCAGTGAGATTTGTTTGCTGGGGGAGGGGCGGGATTGTTGGGTGAAGCTAGCCATATTGATTCGTCTGCTGTCGGTGGATTCTTGAACAACAACGAAAAAGTGTTGAAAATAACTTGGCCAGTTACTTTAACCCTCCTGGACTCCCCTAAATGTTATAAAGGGAGAGTCACTGACAGTGTTAGAACCTGAGATATGAAAGCTAGGAGCTAAATGGTACCTTAAACCTAGGTTATGGGCGCAACAATGGAATGTCTAGGCACACTTTTTTATAACAATACAGAGCTGAAAATGAATGAACTGCAGCTAAAATATTATGTTCATTTTTCACATGGACTAGTCCTTCCCCTGCCCACCCCTCTAATATTCTTAAGAGGGTCTCCTCCAGTTTTCAGAGAGTAGCTGGAAGTGGGGAGGCAGAAAAAGGTCCTCCTTTCCTTCCACTCTGCAGTTTTAATCTGAAATCTTAGGCACAGTACTGCACCCAGAGCTCAAAAACTGCTCACACTAATGAAATTCCCTTTCACAAAATGCGCCTAGAACAGCGGGAGTTTCGAACACTGGTTGCTGAATCTGGATTTAAAGCAACTTTGAGAGTTGCTGCGGTTTTGATTCACAGATGGCAGCCTAACATGAAGAAGACAAGCCACGCCAACAGTCTTGGTACAGGCAGACATTTTAGACTTGCACATAACAGTGTTCTTTCCCTCTTCCCACTCAAACTTGAAAGTAGTCAGGAGCTATTGTGCTTTATCCTGTCTGACTGCAATTTTGCAATATATTCCAGTGCCATTTGGCCAGCCCTGAACTATAGCCAAGCATGCTGCTTGCCTGCCCACACTTGGTTGGCAAGGAGCCCGGAAGCTTGAACGTTGCATAACTGGCAACTTCTTAAATGATGAACATTTTTTCATGTTAATTTAGTCTGCTTGCTGCTGAATAGGTAATTGAACTTGTGTTGTCACATATTATAATTCATTATTCCCATCTCTGCTCTAGTGGGGTTTTTAAAAAGGGCTTCACACTTTTTACCAATGTGATTGGCAGAATGTTTTGGTCTTGGATTTTTGCTGTCCCTATGTCATCCATAGAATGCCGCCCCCGGCCTTGGGCTATCTGGATTTCTGCTGGTTTGCTTTCCAATGTTCCCTTACTATGTACTACAACGCCTGTGAATGAAAAATTGGATTCAGTTCAAATGGGCGAAAGCAACATTTGAAAACATTTTATAATTAGACCAGCGGGAATTTTGCTGTGCCCATCAAATGGAATATTTCTGCCCAGCTGAAACGTGAAATCAGTTTACAGTACAAGGTTTTCTGTAGACATCTTGAAGTAATAGTCAGGACATAGGAATCTCCCTTATACTGGGTCAGGTCTTTATAGCTCAGTGTTTTCTGTTTTGTCCACGGCTGTACAGGATTTCAGGGACAGATAGGTAGCCGTGTTGGTCTGCCATGGTCAAAACAAAACAAAAAATCCTTCCAGTAGCACCTTAAAGACCAACTAAGTTAGTTCTTGGTATGAGCTTTCGTGTGCATGCACACTTCTTCAGATAAGGATTTCAGGGGTCTTTCCCAGGTGTGCCAGGAAATGCCAGGGATTGAACCTGGGACCTTCTGCATGTAAGGCAGGTGTTTAACCCCACTGAGCTATAGCCCTTCTTTTGCAACCGAAACGCATATCTAGAATTACCAGACTGGTAGGAAAGCAAGCATGTTCCCTCTTCCATGTGGCAGCCCTTAAGATACTTGAAGATGGCTATCATATCTCCCCTCAGTCTCCTCTTTTCCAGGCTAAACATACCCAGCTCCTTCAAGCGCTCCTTGTAAGGCTTAGTTTCCAGACCCTTAATCAACTTGTTTGCCCTCTCTGCACAAATTCCAGCGTGTCAACATCCTTCTTAAATTGTGGTGCCTAGAATTGGACATAGTATTCCAGGTGTGGTCTGACCAAGGCAGAATAGAGTGGTACTATTACTTCCCTTGATCTCTGGACACTATACTTCTGCTGATATAGCCTAGAATAGTGTTATCTTTTTTGCTTCTGCATCACACTGTTGATTCAGGTTAAGCTTGTGATCCACCAAGACCCCTAGATCCTTTTCACATGTACTGCTAAGTAAGCCAGGTGTCCCCCACCCTATATTTGTGCGTCTGGTTCTTCCTGCCATGTGAGAAGTCGGTTTCATTTTTAATTCAGATGACCTGTTTACTAGCTAGAAATGCTTACGAAATGCAACTACAATGTGGTGTGTAGTTTAAGAAAATACAAGCCTGGGCCCCAAAGTATCCACCATGCCTTGTGATCTTTGCTTTAGGATTATGTTGCCTGCCGTTGGCAAACACATCAGACAGGTGTTAGCAACTATTTCACGTAGACAGGGGTCACTGCAGTGCAGAAAAAGGCACAGCTATATCTCAAAAAGAAAGTTTTCCCAAGGACCTGAAGGATGGCAGGCTTCTTAACATTTTGCCTAGCACTGGCTCCCCAGTGCTTCACATCGCAGTATCTTAAAATCCATAACTAACAGTGTGGGGCACAGCATGAAGTAAAGCCTTTGGGATGATGTGGGGAACCTTTATGGCCCACTGGGCCCAGATCTTTAACCCATAGCGATAGAGGGAGATGGGAACCAAGTGCATTCAATCCTGCTTTTGTCAGGGTTTTTTACTTGTGGTATCGGATGTGGGGCAGGCGGGCATAGTTTGGGGGAAATGGCCTCGTGAGCCAAATAGGGCGACCTGGTGGGTCAACTTTGTGCTGTGGGGCAGAGATTTCCTACCCCTACTTTCGGTGTGAAGTGACCTTCATCTGAATACGTGGGAGTTCAGACTTAACAGTATCTTTTAACGGGAAGAAGCAGGCCTGAATTAGTTCTGTTCCAGGATCCAAGTAGCATTGGGCACAGCCGTCAGCTCATGAAGGAGGCTGTGTATGGGTAAAGCTCTTTAATCAACTCCAGACTTCCAATTCAATATTATTTATTAAACATTGCAATACAATAGAGTAAGATATATCAGAAACTGCATAAAAGGAAAATAGTAATTTCCCAGCTAATCCTTCCTCTAATGCAGTCTCTCCATCCCTCCTAATCCCTTTTCCTTTTCTTTTGCATCTTCTAGGAGGTTGTAAGCCTGAGGGCAGAGACTGGCTCATCATTGACATTTGTAAGCCACTCTGGAAGCCTTTTTTCAGCCGAAGAGTGGGATAAAAGTGCATTAAATAAATAAATAGATTAGTTCAATGACTTATAAAAAACATTAGCATCCTTGTTCCATGCAGGCAGATTCACAGGATCTGTTGAAGTCAAAGTAAACAGTCAAGAGAGTTCCCTCAAGCAATGGAGACAGACATGCCCAGATCAGCCTATTAAGTATGTTGTGTGCCAGGAGGGGCACAGAGGTGGGTGTCCTGGCACAGAGGCTGACTCCCTCCCAGATGGGTATATGTGTGACCCTTCTCTGTGTACCCCCTCCATGGGAGGTCTGGAGAGTGACAACACTAGAACAGGCCTTTTCATTGGTGGCTGGTGGAAGGATCTCCACTTGGAGGCATGTCTGGTAACATCTTTCCTTTTTTTTTTTTTTTTTAAGGTGTTAGGCAAAGCCTTTCATTTTTATCCAGGCTTTTGGTCCTTCGTTTGAAATGTTCCACATATTTGTTGCCCCCTTGTTGCAATCGGTTTGTTTTGGGTCACTTTTGTGAGGAACGTGACTAATAAATATAATAATAGTGCTTTCCATTCATGGGAATGCAGGGAGGGAAAGTGTCTACTGGGAAGGTTCGGGATGGGTGTGGGTTGAAAACATCCTTGTTTGCAATACCTATGTATGTCACAGGCTTTGCCCTCGTGGAAGATGTCAGGGTGGTGGGGGTTTTTGTGTTTTGTGTGTGTGTGCTTTTGTGCAAACATAACATTCCTAAAGAGACAAGAGGATTGGAACATTGTCTTTTGTCACAGTTAACGTGCAAATCATTCTGGTTTCACGTGGAACAATGAGAGTATCTATTTTAAGTTATTCTAATGGTAATAAGTGGTACGTGGAAATAAGATGGCTGCCTGGCACAGGCATATGTTCACCATATGAAACACCTTCTTTTTTAGACAGATTGACATCTTTAGAACTCAGTATTGAAAGTTTGAAAGAAGCTTGGAGCAATGCTTCAGTATTTAATAGGCCGTGGTTATATTTTATATTTCCCATAGCACTTGTGAAAACCTGCATTGGATATATGTGAGGCAGGGCTATTAATTCTAATGCCTATTGATATTTTTGCTGTTTTACAACAGAAGTGACAGCATGACCAAATGGTATCGCAGTAACCTCTCTAGGGTGTGCAAAAGATGCTAACTTCCTTGGGTCTTAGGGTAATGGAAGTAGCTGCAAATAATGGGTGTGACTAAGAAGCCAAGCCATAATGTGTAGATCCTAGCAGAGGAAAATGTAAAGAACAGTTTATGATATGGCATGATGCACTACAGTTCAAAGGGAGAAAAAGTCATCAATCAATTTTCAATCCAATTAAAACACAGATATGGCATAGGAGGAGGGAGTCAGACACTCTCTGTCTCTCACGCAGTGTAGTCAGGATCACCTAAACAGATCTTTAAAACAAAACAAAACAAAATGCAGAACTTCTGTGTTTGGTGACAGAATGTCATTAACCGCATTTGCAGCACTGTTAGCTTTTGCCTTGTTTTCTTCACAGGGAAATCATCGTTGACGATTCAGTTTGTGGAAGGCCAGTTCGTTGATTCATATGATCCTACCATAGAGAACAGTAAGTAACCGAACTATTTCTCTGAACATGCAAGGGGAGCTGATTTGCCTTAATCCATTTCGCCCACACAAGCACTTTTCCTCCAAAGAGCTTGAAGCAGTTTATGCTTCATTGATTTATCATTTAATCTGAAGTTGGATGTTTAACGGAGACAGAACTTCATAAAGTGCTGTGTTCTATAGAGAAGCTAGGGTGTAAACCAGTCGGTCTTTTTAAATTTGTGCACATACTATGGCTTGTGTTTAGAAATCACATATGCAGAGAAGGAATAGAAGCAACACTTCTCTGCAGCCTTTTGGGAAATGAGACCTATGAGCTTGAAATTATGTTGGATCTAAAGTTAATAGAACTGCTAGCCTTTAAGGCTAGTCTTTCTAGTTCAGCTCTGCAGAAATATATGCAGTGCTTTTTTCCTGGATGTACTCAAGGGTACGCAGTACTAGCACCTTGTTGTTGTTGTTTGTTAAAAAGTTTGACATTCACTGTAACAACTTCATGGTGAGTACCAACACCTATTTTTCTAGAAAAAAAGCACTGAATATATGTGTATGAAATAAGTTTCACAGCCTTAATCTAAGACTGGAGGTCATGGAGTATTTCACTCAAACCATGATCTATAAGTCAAGGTTTGTTTTTGACTTGCAAATCATGATTTGTGTTTGGGTGAAACCAACCACAGCCTCTGGTTCAGACGTAATGGTAAGCCATAGATCACATTCTTTTTAATCCATTAAGAATAGTTAACTGTGATGTGCAAATTTGGCCAATGAAACCCAGGTTATTTTTGTTCTACTAAAGAGTAAAATGGCCAGTTTGAACTGAAGTGATAGACTTTTCCTGTGAAGCACTGAACTGCCCTTTTTCTCATTTGTCCAGCATTCACAAAGCTGATTACAGTAAATGGGCAGGAATATCATCTTCAAGTAGTTGACACAGCTGGCCAAGTAAGTGATGTTTGTTTCCGTGATAGTATTTCCAGTGTTGATATCCTAAAATTGGTACGGTGCCTTAAAAGACTTAGGAGAAAAGTCTATGGCCCTTTTAATTATTTTCAAGTAGAAATTAGATCTGGTTACAGATTGTATGAAATCTTCGAAGAAGCAGATCATAAGTATGTTTTCATAACCAACTCAGTTACTCTTGCTTAAAGCACAGAAAGATCATAGTTGCAGTTAATCTAAAATTGTCATATGAATTTTCCATTTATAGAGGGAATTCAGGTGAAGGAGAGAAATATGTGGTTATTGATTTGGGTTTAATCTCAAGTGTGCTGATAAGACAGTAGATTATATCCTTTTTGCACAAAGTATTTCTCACAATCCTTCATGGCATAAGTAGGGTTGCCATACATTCTCTTTTCCCAGGACATGTCATCCTTTTCAGGGGTAAAATTTCTGTCCTGGCAGATTTTTCAAATTTGCTAAAATGTCTTGCTTCCTCTCTTTCTCCTTCTACATAAAAAGATGCTGTTTCGCTTTATTGCTTTTCCTGGGCTTTTTAGTAAATTATTTTGTGTGCCTTACGACCACTACCACCTCGTGCACGTCTCAAAGAGGGAGAGGCATATGTATATATGTATCACACACACACCCCATTTTGCATGCACAAATTTTGCCACGCCCCTTCCCAGTGCCCTCTGATGTCGCTCCAGCACATGCCCCACCCACAGCATTCTCCAGTGCTCGCCGCTCCTGCACCCCCTCCTCCCTGCCCTAGGTGCCGGCAAATGTATCCTCTCTTTTGCTCTTCAAAATATGCCAACCCTAGACATAAGGCAAGTAGGAGGAAGGAAACTACTAAACCTCAAAAGATGCAAAGCAGGAACTTCTCTTTCCCTGTAGAGAAAACTATTTTGTAGCCTTGAGCATTGGGCTTATTCCTGTGCATAAATAGCCTGCTGTGAGTTTTCAAAATGTAGCATATGTCTTTGTGCATGGGACCTGCTGAGAGTTGAACAAGAACATCTACTTTTGCTCAAATGTGTTGCTATAGCACATTTGCAAAATGCCACTGCTTAAGCGAAGGTACAATAATTTCTTGGTATCTTCCAGTCTGGCAGTATTTGACCTTGAGCAGGATTAGGCTCTTCCCCAACCATCGTCCCAACTCTAGCCTCGGAAACCAAGGGCATCTAGATGTTTCTCTATTTTTAAAGCCGCAGAAAAACTCATGGAAGCCATATCAAGTCACATCAAGGGGTAACAGAGCCTCAAATGGCTGCAGATTTGGTTTCCAGGCTACCTTCCCTATCTGAAGCAAAATACTTCCCCTGCATTGACTTAAGCCTTCCAAAAGGATAGTTCAGTTGTAGCATATTTATATTTTCAATGTGCAAGGTTCATAGCGGCACCCCATAAAATGAAGTAAGCGTCTCGACCCCCATCGTTCACTCCACTCCCTCTGAAGGAGCGTCTCCACCCCCATCGTTCTACCCGGACACTGAGGTCCAGCACCGAGGGCCTTCTGGCGGTTCCCTCACTGCGAGAAGCCAAGTTACAGGGAACCAGGCAGAGGGCCTTCTCGGTAGTGGCGCCTTCCCTGTGGAACACCCTTGCACCAGATGTCAAGAGAACAACAACTACCAGGCTTTTAGAAGACATCTGAAAGCAGCCCTGTTTCGGGAAGCTTTTAATGTTGATGCATTATAGTATTTTAATATTCTTTTGGAAGCCGCCCAGAGTGGCTGGGGAAGCCCAGCCAGATGGGCGGGGTATAAATAATAAATTATTATTATTATTATTATTATTATTATTATTATTATTATTAAGATGAGCAGGAACATAGAATAATAGAATTGTATAGTTGGAAAGAGCCCCAAGGGTCATCTAGTCCAACCCCCCCTGCAGTGCAGGAATCCTGCCCACAGCCACCCCAAACCACCAACCTTCTGGTTAACAGCAAGACGCACTGACCCACTGTGCCACTGGGGGCTCATGTATTAATGGTGAAATGCGCCCAACACTAAATGCGTGAAATGACAAATCCACAACATACTCATCACAATAATAAAACTACGTAAGTTGTTTATTTTATCACTTTCATCATTTTAACGTAATCAAGTTCATGGGAGGAAAATTCCCATTTCCCCTCTTCCCTAGCAGCCCCTCTGGACCTCATCTCACATTGTGCAGGAGGAATTCCTGACCCTCCAGGCAGACACTTGTGGGAACATAGGTGGTTCGAGGAGGGAGAAGTGAATGGGAAACTTTCCCTCTGCGAACATCCTAAAGTCACAGGAAAGATGAGGGAAATTGTGTTTACTTTTGTGTACTTAGAATTGTATTTTAATTAGTAAAATAAAAATCTTTAAACAGAACCTTGTTTTAAATTTGTCTGCTTGCATTGTCATTAAGAAAGTTCCTTCTTCCAAGCAAGTCAAAGTTACCTTAAATTCTGAAGGAGCAATGAGAGATCGATCTAGTGCTCACATCTGTGGAAGCTAAAATGGAATTTGATCAGTGCTTTGTTGATAACCTACTATTTGCAGTACTTCATAGTCGAAAGATCATTTGGCATCTTAAACAGTATTGAGCAACAGTATTGAGCATGTTCTAAGTTATTTAAGTAGATGTCCAATTTCCCAACAGATACAATACTGATAGGTTTAAATGCCAAAATTGTCTGTCTTGACACAGTGTGTCAAAGTTGATGGACAGCTTCCCATAGGACTGTTTAGTAATTGTAAGTTACCAGTTCTCACATTCAGTGCCGTTCTTGTAAATGCATAGTGAGTGCATGAGTGTATCATGCCCGTGAAATGTCAGCTTTCCTGTTTGGTGCCTTCCATTTTCAGCGGTGGCACTGCTCCTGTAGACCTTTGTAGAGGAATTGTAATCCTTCAGCTATGCAAAGAATTCACTAGAGTGCAAGACAGCAGTGAAAGGAAGTCAGTACATGTACGTTCATGCACAGCATTTTAACAATGCAAGGATTAAATGCGCTTAATCCTAACTCAGTTCTTCAAGCTCACTAATGAGCTTGTGTGGCAGCAAAACATTAACGTGCAGCTTTATCTTCCAACAGGATGAATACTCAATATTTCCTCAGACGTACTCCATAGACATTAATGGATACATTCTTGTTTACTCAGTCACATCAATAAAAAGGTAAGACATGCCTCCAATTCCTGCTATCAAGGCAGTTTCTTAATTTTGAGCTGTTTCAGACTTTGGCTGCTTTAGTCTCCCTACTTTGCTTGAAAATGTGGTGCAAACACAACCAAAAAATATTTTGCAGGACATGGATTGAGTGCCATAAAAACATACTGAGTTTTTATTTATTAGCTTTCAAAGCAGTATTGCCTCTCACTGACATTCTGGGAGCCATAAAGTGCAAGCTAAATTGAGAAGTACTATAAAAGGGCAGCATCCATTTGCTCGTCATGAAGCAAAATTGTAAGACCTAGAAGAAAAAACAAAATAGTATTTCAGGCAGTTGTGGTCCTTTCCTCTGCCTTTGTCATCAAGCCAGCTAACAAGTGACACATTCCACTGACGCTCTTTCATAAACAGTAGGTTTTGTGCTCAGAAATATACATTGACTGTTGAATATGTATAAAAATTACTCAGAAATCTATATTGCCATATAATACAGTTTTATTTTACTTACTTTCTTAGACAATTAATTTTGTTCTCAAGTGTGCAACAGTGGTACCTGCCAGTATTGTTTTGCTGCCTTCTCTGCAAACGCACACCAGTATGCTCGGTGTATAGGTACCCAAAGTTGTGGTAACCAAACTGCAATCCACTCTGACCTACTAATGTGCATGTGTCAAGCCTTCTGGTATCGTAGGAACAGATCCATTGAAATTGATGGGCAAAACTAACTTGGGTCGATAGATTTCAATGGGCGAACCCTGAGTAGAACTTTGTGTTCATCTGTTGAAATGAATATTGCAAAGACTTAGAACTGAACTTGCACACAACTCAGTGGGTATCAAAAGTGAGGTCTGTGAATTTGTCCCTAGGCTGAATCTTCCACTCATTTGATATTAGCCCTTCTGCCTTCCTGAAAGAGAAACCTTGGCACCATTTCAAGGCCATTAGTGCTTGATAACCTAAAGCCTATTACTGTGGGTAAAGGATTGCTAATGGGATATAGAGCCTTTCACGTTGAGTTTGCTCACTTACGATGTTGCTTTGTGGCATTACCAACCTTCAGCTGCCTGGTAGCCTATGAAAAATGAGAGTGCAACCTTGATCCATTTGCAGTATGCTCTGAGGACTCAGACAGATCTCCTTATTGGGGCAGTGTATGTGGACACTCTGTACAGGATAGCAGAAGGCAAGAGTTTATTGGACTGTGTAACCTTGGCTTTTGAAGTCAGTATTGAGGCATTCTTTTGCTTTGGAAATTTCCATTCTTTGAGCTCCGCTTTCTGTGATGGGCTCAATTATCACTTTCTCATATGTGTGTGTTCTTGGCCGCAGGGTGGATAGCAATTCGTTTGCTTTTCTTTTAATAGAGAATTTTAAAATAGGCTTCTTGTTAAGCCTGTTTGCAGTCTTAATAAAAATGTTGATGTTTTAATTTAAGTTTCCAAATTAATATTCTGCAAACCTTGTGGTTCTGTCCTCTCGCACAGACATAAGTGTAGGTGATTTCTAACTTCCTTTTGAGAGCAGCAGACTGAAGAAAATATTGTTAGGAGACAACAGCTGTTGGGGACTCACCATAATGAATAGGAGGAGGGTCATGGTGACCACAAGCTATGCCAAGCCATGTGGTTAGTTTTAACCGTAACACTTCACCTCCTCCCTTAGTTCAGCTGCTAAAGAAGTCCCAGGTCAGCTGGCTTGGAGTTGCCTCTGAACAAAGTCCTTGTGGTGTACTTCTCTCCAAACAAACCGCAATGCGAAGCCTGACTTCCCAGTCATGGTTTGTCTAGAGGAAAGCAAACCACAAGTGCTGATACAGACACAATGCGAAGCCAGCCACTCTGTGGTTTGCTTCCCTGCTCAATTCAGGGAGAAGCAAAATGAGATCTGTGTGCACAAGCACACGCATGTTTTGCTTAAAATGAGCTCCACAGCTTGCTTTAGTGTCACTTGTGCCTCTGTGAACTTCATACCCATTATGGCGAGCCTCCAAGGGCATGGTCATATGTCTCAGCATTGTTGTGATCTCTTGCCCTTTAAGAATATTTTATTCATCGGTCTGCTGTTCTACACCTTAAGCTATCAGACATAAATTGGACTTGTGTTCTGCTCCCACATGATAGGGCCATAAGCCACACACGAGGGAAGAGCGCTTGGGTCTTGAGCTGCTCCCTAACTTGCACATTACCCAGTTGCCAGCGCATCACTATGCACTGCATTCCAGGAGCCTCAAGTAGATTGGGAAGGCACTGTGTTGTATCCGTATTCTGTACAGGATATTTGCTAACCTTCACTTCCAGCTGTGGCCCCACTGTGCTATATTGAAAGTTGTTCCAGAGAACAACCTCCCCACCCCACCCCCCAAAAAAGCCACACACACACACACACACACACAAACTTCAGGAGTGGCTGGAATGGGGCATGAAGGCTGTAGTCAGTAGAGAGGCCTAAAAAAACACAACACCTGGTGTGCTCATGTAAGCTCACTTGCAGCCCTCTGGATCCTACCTTGTTTTCCTGGAGTTAACTGTATTATCACACACAAAGAATAAACACTGGGACAACTTCTGCATTGACTTCTCTCGTAAATTCCTGATAACTGTCAATACTGGAGAGTATGCTTAAGCTGTACCTCTGCAGTAATTTCGCTTCTCTTTTTGAGGAACATGAGAGTTGCAAATATATTTCCACTCTAATGTCTCACATGTCTCCGACGTGATCTCTTATTTCCTTCTTATGTGTGAAGTTGTTTCATGGGGGTGAACGAGGCCAAGCCTTGGCAGGTGTCTTGGTACTGGTGAGCTCTGCAAATCCTAAACACCTTGCAGTGCAAGCCGTAGGAAGGGAACGTGAGTGGTTGTATGTCGCAGTCTACACTGAACTGTGCAGCAAACACCAGCAAGTTCAGGCTGTGCCTTAAGCACCGCACAGACCAGCTGGGTAGAGAAGGTGAAAGCCGTGGAGTAGTTGGTTGAAGTTGCTGGAGTTTCCTCCCCCCAGTGTTAGATGCAGATAGCGGGCAAGGGCCTGGGGCATTAGTGATGTAATATTGCAGTCCGTACATAAAATATAGGGTGATATGAGCTTGGCCTGCTGGTGGGAGGTGAATGGAGCAGGGTGATTGCAGAACCTTGTGCACCTCCCTTTTCAGTCAGCAAATTGTTTTTGGATTGTACTGTGCTGTGTTGGAATTCTGCCATTGGTGTTTTATGGATTGTCTTCCATTTACATGAGCGATCAAACTGTCACAATGAAAGTTCTGGCTTTCTCCAATTCTGTTTACTTTTCTGTGCCAAAATGAAGTCCTGACCTCCCTGACCCAGTTGTCCTTCATGGTCAAGGTCACACTGTGGTGGAAACGTCTGCATGCACTCCCACTGCAGTTGTGCAATTCTCCCTTCCTTTCAGTGAGGCTTGCACAGCGCAAGTTCCCTGGGGATTGTGCAACCAGCCTACACAGAACATAAACTGCTTTGGAAGTGACCTGGTATATAACAGTATCAGGTTCATGTTATGTTTTGGAAACAGCCTCTTTAACCCTGAGTTTGTGACTTAAAATAATTATGGTGTTTGATGCTCAACTTTATCACCTTTTACTGTTTAAAAGAAATCAAATTCATACACAGCTCAAGTAATGTCTCGCTTGTCATGTATAAGCCAGGGTGCAGGTTTTAATTTCTCATTTTTTAATTGTGTAAACATGATGATATACCATTGGCATTGGGGCTTCACTTAGGTTCTCCAGACAAATAGAATTCCCAGTAGTTAAATGAAGTAGTGTTTGCTTGTGGCTTTGATCTTTGTAGAATTATTTGTGGGTGGGATAGAAATGCCAGAGGGTGCAACGTTGGAGGGCGTGTATGATGTCATCCTTTTATTTTTCAGTTTTGAAGTGATTAAAGTTATCCATGGCAAGTTATTGGATATGGTGGGAAAAGTCCAGTAAGTAGTAACACTCTCATTTCATTCCATGTTTCATTTTGCTGTCGTATTACTCTGCAGACATCAGCTTCTGCTCTGAAAGTGATTTGTCTTGTTTTTAATCCCGTAGGATCCCCATTATGTTGGTTGGAAATAAAAAGGACCTGCACATGGAACGGTATGGAATATTTCTCTTGAGATGAGTTAAGGCAACCCTGCTAAGATTAAAATGTTGTGGTGCATTTATCCAGTCATACTCTGAGTAGGCCCGTTGAAATTAATAGACGTTACTGGCCTTGATTCATTACTTATTCATTTCAATGGGTCTAACCTCTGTAGAACCTAGAAGAATATGCTTCTCTGAGCATAATGGTTTGCAGATAGCTGCAGCAGTCCTCTGCCTTGAAATGTTCTTGTAATTTACTACCTTTCCTTCTGATACATCACCTCAGATACCACAGCTTGCCTCATTCCAATTCCTATTCCTGGCTTTTATTTGATAAATTCAACTAAGGCTGGAATGTTGGTCAGTTGATCACCTACTTATCTGCAGAGGAGTTATGTAGGAGGCCAAGAATGAACTATATTTGTCACACTTGTGCCCTGCTATTCCTCCAAAGAGCTCAGGTCATCCTACTTTGGGTTGGTACTTGAGTATTGCTTTCAGGTTTTAGAGTTGCAATTATTTTTAAAACTTAGCATTTTGGCCAGGTCAGGTTCATGCAAAGTTGCCTGAGGGTAACCTGTTGCCCGGATATTTGTCCGCCGATCCTCTGGTGGATCTTACTACTGTCGGGGCAAAGTTGGTTTTTAATTTGACTACTGTGTGCACTACAACAATAGAATTCCCGTAATCTTTACCAGTCCCCTTTGCTGATTGGTGAAAAATCACTTGCCATCAAAATCACTTACACATTTATGGTGACACAGAAACTCAGAATTATGTTATACTGCTTCAAGCAGCTTGTGGCTCAGCTGTGGAACTGGACAAATTAGTGAAGGATATGGTGATCACAATGGCTGTTTTCTTCTCTGCCAATCACAGTTGGAGGCCCTATGCTTCTGAATACCACTTGCTGGAACCAGCAGAGGGGGAGAGTGTTCTTGCGCCCGAATCCTGCTTGCTGGCTTCCCATGGGTGCCTGGTTGGCCACTGTGGGAGCAGGATGCTGGGCTACATATGCCCTAGACCTAATCCAGGAGGCTCTCCTACATTCTTAATAGACAGAATAATTATATTGTTGCCACTCCTAAAATTTTACTCTTAGAAGAGAGATGGTCCAAATAATACCCTCTTTCCTAGATGATCACCCATGGGACATTGCTTAGCCTGTAAATGGGCATGGCCTTAACTTATTTTCCAAAGTGGCTGTACCCAGAATAATACGCAACATAGTGCTTGTGAAGTTGCTGTTAGAGATGGTGACTGTGTTGTTGATTCCAAACCTGTGTGATCAGCAGGGCTTTAATGTTATTGTGTGATCTGATTAAGCTTTGGCTTTCATTATGTATCTTCTAATAATACACAATACACTCAGCTCCCCTTCTAGGTGTCACCTGCTTCTTGCTCTAATTGAAAATTGATGTGAAACCTTCTCCATGAAACATTGATAATCCGAACTGTAAACATACCATATCTGGATCTGTTAGACGAGTTCTCCTAAATCTTACATACAATACAGTACGATGAGCAGTCAAATGGTTGGAAATTTAATTTAGAGGGCTCTTACTATAAATAACTTTCCTTTCCTTTTTTCAGGGTGATCAGCTATGAAGAAGGGAAAGCTTTAGCAGAATCCTGGAATGCAGCTTTCTTGGAATCTTCTGCTAAAGAAAACCAGGTAATCAATTTGCTTCTAAAGGGCTGAAGTTGAAATAGGAATTGCTGCTTAATTATGAATGTGTTACCAGGGAAATGGGAGAAGAGCTGCCCAAGTCAGCCTTTTACAGCTTGCTGATGACCATTTGCATAGTGGCAAAGTCATCACTTGGGCGTTTGCATCTCATTGACTGTTCCTGATCTGGAGATTACAGGTACTGTGATATGTCACCATATGATGAAATCTTCAGGCAACAAGACTGCCATGTAACTATTACAGTCATCAGAAGATTAATGCGGTCACATGAATGCAGCCACTTAAAACTACAAACAAACAAGATTAGTTATGGGCCATGCAAACTGGGAACCTTGTTAAAACATGTATTTTCCATAGACTTTGTTGCATGACTGCATCAATTTATCCTTAAGCCGCAGAGGTAGGGTGGACTCTTGCTTTGCCACCATAGATTAAGAGCTCCCTAATTTTGTAAGATGAAAGGATCCGCTAAAAAGAGCACTGGCAGTTTTAGACATGAGCTTGAGTTAAAGCAGCACATTCCTTGTTAAAAATGGAAGCTGAATTACTGTTTCAGAATATCTAGGAGGGTATATGAATGTTTCAATAAAATTGCATTCCTGTCTACCTTCAGGAGTAAAGAAACAGCATGTAGAGGTGAAACTTCGGTAGAGCAAGCTATTTGGGATTCTGCAAAAAATCTAATTGCAGAGGAAATATATTAGGTTAATTGACCAATTGTGGACAATTTGTGCCTGGGAAACATTGTACTGACAAATACCCTTTTCATTTGATTTTAGATTTTAAATGTCATATGAGATACAGTACATATCTGACATTATATGAGGCAATGTTCAATTAACTGTCATATTGCACTTTTAAGATGCTTAAGGGACTGCTTGAATCCACTGGAGCAAATTTGGAAGCAAGCCCAGTTCAGAATTGTACCTTGTTGGCAAATGATTCTTGATGAACAGAAAAAAATAGAAAGACGAGCTTTGGATTCTCCAAGTGTGCCAGCTCAAAAATGCCGAGATTGTTTCACACAAATGATTTGCAGCATTCTCATTACCAAAACCTCCACTTCTTCATTCTTTACTATATTTTCCCTGCAACTATTACTTCTGCAGGCAAAAATTCTTAACAAGTTTCAGTGCAAGAGGAAAAGAGCTTTTAACATGAAAAATGAAACATCAATAGCAACTAGGTGATAAGAGCATATAAACCGTATTTTTCACTCTATAAGACGCACCAGACCACAAGACCGCACCGAGTTTTTGAGGAGGAAACAAGAAGAAAAATATTCTGAATCTGAAGCAGAACAGCAAAGGATCGCGCACAGTGAAAAGCAGCAATCCCTCTTCTGTTCTGGCTTCTGGATAGCTGCACAGCCTGATTCCCTCCATAAGACGCCACACACGTTTTCCCTTACTTTTTAGGAGGGAAAAAGTGAGTTCCTTATAGACAAAAAAGTACGGGTATATATTTTTAATAAGTTACTGAGGGCGGGCACCCTTTTTGTTCAGGGGACAGTTCTTCCTATTTCAGTCCTTATATATTTGGGTGCCTTTCTGTGCTACCTTCTAGCTCAGAATAATGGAAGTACCTTCTGAAAAGGCATCTATTTCTCCAAACCAAAATGGAGCTCTTGGAGCTTATTTGAGTCACCTGCCTCTTAGCATCTGTTGACATTGCCTTCTAGTTTCTTAGAAACATTTCCCTGGCCTTCATAGCTTCCAGCTCTGTAACTCACTTCGCATAACTATTGGGTTATGAATTCAGGCTCAGGTCCCTGAAATAGCCTCGTAGCCTTCTGAGATGAGACTGCTAATCTTTCCACTCCCAATGCTCAGGGCAGGTAACAATACTTACAGTGCAACACAAGTAGGTGTGAAACCAGATTACTATTATATTTCACTGGTCTCATGCCAGGCCTAACAAAGAGGTCTTCGTTACACCTTGGAAAGCCACCCCATTAACACTATGGCTTGAAACTTCAGCAGCATGGTGGTCTGCGGTGATCTTCGCACGCATTGTGCAAGGTACGCAAGGCCCATTCTGAGCGATTTTGGCTCAAGAGGCAGTTCACATTGTTGAGCATCACTTTCATATTACAAGAAAAGGGAAGGCTTGCAGGTCAGAGTTCAGCAATGAGAGTTGGGTGGGGAAATTAGGCAGTCCTGATTTTTTGCGTTGCTTTTATTACATCGTATCACGTGCATATCCATCTCAGGCATGCTAGCAATGCTGAGCTGCAGCATGTCGTCACCTTTCCTCTTCTCATCCTTGTTCGCTATTCTAAAACAGTCACAGCGGCTGCTGTGCTTTCTAGTGCTTCAGACTCTTAATAGCCCCTCTGCCTTCTTTCCAGACTGCTGTTGACGTCTTCAGAAGGATAATTTTGGAGGCAGAGAAAATTGACGGGGCATCTTCACAAGGGAAGTCTTCATGCTCGGTGATGTGATTGCCCACCGAAGGCTGAACACTGGGAATATGTTCTACCTTAAGAAGCAAACTGCCTGTTCCCCCTCACAGCGAAACTACGCTTTTTCTTCTTCTGTTAACCTGAACAATATAAAGTCAGTTGGAGACTTTTCCTTCAGATTATGTTAAACTCTGACTCCTGTGCAAAAAAAAAAAAAAAAGGCTTCACTTCCATTTTCAAATTTTAAGCAATCATATTTTCAATTTATATATTGTATTTCTTAATATTATGACCAAGAATTTTACTGGCATTAATTTTTCAATGTAGTTGGGTTAGAATAATCATCCAGATGATGCATATTGTTACACTACTATTAACTAGGCTTGAATATCGGTGTTTCTTTGTGTTAAATGTATACTTGTAAATAAAATAGCTGCAAACCTTTGTGTGCCCACTGCTTAACAGGTTCTTTACATTTTTTTTCATGCCGTTTCTGAAAAATACCTAGTTCAGTATGCCACCAAATGTTTGATGGAATGCTTAAACTGAACATTTTCAAAGGTCAGTTACAGGAAAAGACTGCAGTTTTGGAATTTAACATATTTGGTTGTACTTTCCAGGTTTTGAAGAAGAATTATGGCTTGTTCTTGCACTTTGAGCAGCATATTACCTCCCCCTGGCCATAATTATGGTATATTTACTGCTCCAGTAACGGGTGAACTGAATGCATATTATCTTTTTGTACACAATCTTGTGAACCGGGTCCCCCCCCCTTGCCAGTATATTTCCTCGCTTTCCTGCTAGTACGATCCAGTTTCATCCTCTTCACTGATTTGATGTAGGCCTAAAGCTTTCATTCCACAATAAGATGTCACAGCACTACTCGCCATCCAAAAATGGTACACAAAAAATGGAAAGCTGTGAATATACTAGGTCGCCAAGCTGATGTGTAGTAAAAATTTCAACATCTCAACAGGCTGGGATACTTCAGTTGGGTTGCTGCTCTGTATGCATGAATACAGGGTGTACTAATTTAATAATGAAAGCAAAGGCCATAAGAACTTGAGGACCCTGCTGGTCAGAGGAGAGGCATGTTTCATCCAGCATTCTGTTTCCAAATGCATTTGGGAGGGTCACAAGTAGGACGCGAGGTCAATAGCCCTCTCCCACAGTTGAGGATCCTCAGTGAGTGATACTCCACAGCAGCCAATCATAAACCTTTCCGTCAGCTGCCCACATTTCATATTGGGCGTACATTAAAACATGCTAGGGGTCCCCCTTTTCAAATGGCATAGTTCAGTTCTGATCTGAGAACAAGGGTTCTGCAGTAGGTAGAATTGGATTGGATGAATGAGCGCAAATCCTTGCTTCGTCATGCGTCCTGTTGGTGACCTCGGACCAATCACAGCTTCAGCCTTCTTGTACCTGAAGGGTTGATTGTGAAGACAAAATGGTAATACCGGTAAAATAACGAGCTCACAATGGAAGCACGCTACATGGTGCATTGTATTTCTCCATCCAGCAAGCTTTGCCAAGATCCAAGCAATGAAAGCAGTCTGGCACCTGGGGGCCTAGTAGAAGCATTGGAGGGCTAGATTTCAAGTCTGCCAGTGCCATTAATTCCCTCTTGAGGCTTGGGACCTTCCACTGGCCCAATTTCCCCAACTGTGAAAAAGGAATGATGATCATTAGCTCCTTCCCCAGGGGTAATATGATTTAATTAGTTTTGTCTCTAGAGCGCTTTGAATGTATAAAATGTTCCTGCTAATAAATTGCGTGCTGGTACAAAAATAGCACTTGCTGAGCCAGTTTGATCTCATTCCATATCTGCTGGTTTATATAGGAATTAACTATAGTACTGCAGGGCGTTTATAAGCCATATAGAATTGGGGGGGCGGTGTATATATGCAATGTGGAAATTATTTTGAAGCTTGGCAATAGAAATGTATTTTCAGGGCTTGGCTTAACGTGAAATTGGTTCCTGTGTTGTTTAATGAGGTCTTCTGATGAAGCAGGACAGCATGATATGGTAGCAAGAAGGTGCTGCTCTGAACATAGCCATGCTGTGCTTTAATACACCATAGGGGCTTGTTTTCTGCAGGAAAATGTGAGTACAACACAGCTAGCCTCTGCAGAGCCACAGAGGAATTTGCTTCTTGGAAACACTCGTTGGAAGCCTCTAGTTGAGAGTAGAAGATCCCATTTCCCCTAAAGAAGGGCAAGTCCGCGTTTGTATGTTGGCTGTTGCTGCAGTCTGATTCAGATGTAATTCTAAACATCCTTCAGGCCTGTATTTTGTGTATTTAGTGCTTTTATCTTGCATTTTTATGTTGTGAATTGCCCTGTGATATTTGGATGAAGGGCGGTATGCAAATTCTCATAATAATAAGGCAGCTTCTTATGTTCCTACACTTTACATACAGTGTATTTCATATCCAGGATATTGGGTTCCTTTACTTGTATTTAGTACATTTGTATCTGAGAATCCAGCTAAAAAGGCTCCCAGAGTGGCTTATATACAATTAAAACAAGGCAGTCCCAGTTTGCAATCTTTAAAAAAAGAGAGACACAAGGAAAAGGGGGCAAAGAAGGAAGAGGAAAAAGAGACTTGAAGCTTTAGATAACTTCCAATTAAAACAGATAATGCTGGACTAGACAGACCAATAGGGTATAGGGCACATTCCTAATTTCTAAGGCATCTTCTGAAGACTCGCTCTATGGGCTCCAGGAGGAGAGGCTTACGTGTGCTGTGTTAAAAGGGAAAGCAGATGAAAATCGGCTTGTTACCTAGTCTAATAAATAAAGCTTCTCTCTAAAAGGAACTGTAAATGTTCGATGCTCGTTGCTCAAATCCCCCAACGAGTGATTCTTTTGTTAAATTGCCTGGATTAAATTAAAACTCCCGTATCAGCAGAGAGAGAGGTATGCCGTTCTTGCCAGCTAAGCACGAACCATCCCCAGTGTGCATTGTTTGGCAGGCCTTACAAACCCAACCTGGTCTCCCTGCTGCTGATATATAGTAGAGCTTCCCGTGGCTCTGAAAATCCCATTTGGGAGTCTGCCTCTGCGTTAGCAGTTGCCAGTGAAACATGTCTCAGTATTCAGGAAAAGTAAGTAACATGTTCCTTTTTGTAACTTTGCTTATGTATGAGATCAGAGGCTTTTTTAAAAAAGAGGGAGGAGGAGATGAGCTGGAAAAATAAAAGCTTTGGATGCCAACAGGAGACAGGATGGCTTAATGGAGCTACGCTTTCCAAAACATTGTGGGGCCGTGTTGCCTTGCAGGATGGGGCCACACAAGCTGGGGTAGTCTGAGATTAAGGGGCGTTCCTTAAAACGCAAGGAATCTGGCAACTCCAGAGAAGGAAAAGCATATGAAAGCGAGAGGATAATGAGGATTGGGAAATACAATGGAGTGTGTCTTAATTAATCTAAATACACAATTTTAAAAAGTGATGTTTATAAAAGAAAAGAAAACCCCAAGAGGTTGCATTGTTAGCCACACACAGTGTTGTAAGTTGTAATGTCTCATTAAAAGAATACTTCCAGCTTTCAATGAACTCTCTCGTTGAAAGCAAAATTAAATCCGTCTGGCAGCGGATTCCATCTGCTTGGAATACCGGTGGGTCGTGGGGCCGCGCAATGGCTGCAGCTCAATCCTTGGAACGTCCTCTTTCCTCTAGATCACTTTCTATGAAGGCAAATGCTTCACAGGCCGGAAGCTGGAGGTTAGCGGGCCCTGCGACAACTTCCAGGAGCGGGGCTTCATGAACAGAGTCAATTCAATCTGTGTGCAGAGCGGAGCCTGGATCTGCTTCAGCCTCGCAGACTTCCGAGGCCAGCAGTACATCCTGGAACATGGCGAATACCCTGGCTTCCACCGCTGGAACGGGCACAATGACCGAATGGGATCCTGCAAGCCAGTTGGGATGGTTAGTGCTCCTTTTTTTGTTGTTGATGAGTGACAGGACAGGACCTGTTTATCACAGGGAGTGTCTGTTTCCAGGTGTCTGTCACTCTTGCCCTTTGGGAGGATGTCTGGAATGTCTTCAGCATCACTGTATGTTTTAACAACTTGCCGGAATGGTCATAATTTATTACTTTTCATAAAAAAATTATGCACCTCGATAGAAGAAAAACCTCAAAGTAGTTTACAAAGTATAAAACAATAAAATTACCAGTAAAAATAGTAAGCAACAACAACTATTTAAAACATTTTTTAAAAAAATTGCAATAAACTAAAAACAGTTTAAAATATGCGTTCTACATGCCTGGGCAGGCTTGTCTGTTCCAGGGGTTTAAACACTGCCTTCATAAAAGGTAAAGGGACCCCTGAACATTAGGTCCAGTCGTGACCGACTCTGGGGTTGTGGCGATCATCTTGCTTTACTGGCTGAGGGAGCCGGCATACAGCTTCCAGGTCATGTGGCCAGCATGACTAAGCCACTTCTGGTGAACCAGAGCAGCACACAGAAACGCCATTTACCTTCCTGCCAGAGCGGTACCTATTTATCTACTTGCACTTTGATGTGCTTTCAAACTGCTAGGTTGGTAGGAGCAGAGACCGAGCAACGGGAGCTCACCTCGTCGCGGGGATTCGAACCGCCAACCTTCTGATCAGCAAGTCCTAGGCTCTGTGGTTTAACCCACAGCGCCACCCCCGTCAGCCCAGGTCTTTGTGCCATCATCATGTGATCAAGCAAGACAAAGAACAAGGACATTGTATCTCCTGGACCTTGGCATCCTTCTGGGTTAGGTGTTGGTACCTCTGTCTCCCAGTGGTTCTGTTCCTACTTGTAGGAGTCCCTTGCTCCTTGCTCAGCCCCATGGCTTCTAGACTGTGAGGTCCTCCGGGGTTCCATTGTGTTCCCAGTTGCTGTTTTAACATCTTTATGAAGTCATTGGAGGAAGTCATCCAGGGATTTGGAGCAAGGCACAATCAATATGTTGGTGATACCCCAGTCTTCAGTGATGATGCCCGACATCTGAAGATCACAGAGTGGTCTATCTCACCTGAATCAGGAGAGGCTGTTTAAGTACTTGACCAGTGTTTGGAATGAGTATTGGGATGGTTGAGGTCCAATAAATTGAAGCTGAAGCCCAACAAGATGGTGGTTCTGTGGGTTGGTGGTTGAAGGACCAAGTTCATTGCTTGGGGCTGCCCATCAGTTCTAAGCTGTCACCTGAGGAGGCGTGGCAAGGCGACTATTTTCTGTTGTCTAAGCATCTGTTATCTTCTTCAAACTCCAGTTGGTTCGCTAGTCCCCACAGCAGCTGCCTGTGCATTACCACAGTGTTTCCCAACCGGTGTTCCGCGGCACACTAGTGTGCCGCCGGACGTTGCCTAGTGTGCCGTGGGAGGGAGGCGGGCGAGTCGGGCTAATCCTCCGACGAGCTCCACCTCCAGACCCATTGCTCAAATCCTTTAACCCAGGAGGGCGGGGAGGGGGGGGGAGAAAGAGAAAAAAGAAAGGGTGGAAAAAAAGAAGGGGAAGAGAAAATATTTTTTTAAAAAAAGGAAAGAGAGGGGAAAAAGCGAGGGATGGAGGAAGGGGCTTGGCAGGCAGCAGATAACTGGGGAGGGGGGCGCGGCTGGCGGCGGCTCAAGGCAGGAAGGGAGGAGCTGCCTCGCGGAGAGTCTTGGGCTGCAGAGATTTCCCGTTCAGGAGCGCGGGAGGCCATGCCGTGGATGGGAATCTCCTCCTCTTCCTCCTCCTCCTCCAGGAGAGAGGGTGGTCCGCCCCACCGAGTCGGGCGTGCTCAAGCGTGGGAGCCTATAGTTAGAGCTCAGCTCCTTTTCTTGCCTCCCCCCCCCCCCACGGAGCACATTTTCCTCGCCCCCCAACCCCCGCATGTAGAATAGAAGCCCTCCAGCCTCCACGGTGCACAAACTCTCCCCTCTGCAACGAAGCGCTTTGTTACATATCTTTGGTGAGGTTTTTAGGCAGTCTTGGTGCACCTTAAATCAGCGCTAATTGCGCCTGGACGCAGTATTTACTTCCGAGTAGGCCCCCTTCTCCCCCCCCCCCCGGTAGCACCTGACGTTGCTATTCGTATCATCAGGTTTGTTTGTTGATAATTTAATTGTTTTAAAAGCATCATGCTAAAGAGCTCTCTCCCACCCCCAGACCCTTGGGCAAAACAGAAACACACACATACACAAACACAGAGATTGAGCCCTGCAGGTTTTATGAAATGAATGGATTCTGAATGCCTGTTTCAGTGGCTTGTCCGCCTTAGGCTGCTGGGCCAGACACCTGTTACACGGTGCAGTCCGTAAGCTGTGAGCGCTGCTACCTGCCGCCGAGACCACGTAACGACAGTCTTGAAAGACCTACATTGGCTCCCAGTACCTTTCCGAGCACAATTCAAAGTGTTGGTGCTGACCTTTAAAGCCCTAAGCGGTTTCGGTCCAGTATACCTGAAGTAGCGTCTCCGCCACCATCGTTCTGCCCGGACACTGAGATCCAGCGCCGAGGGCCTTCTGGCGGTTCCCTCACTGCGAGAGGCCAAGTTACAGGGAACCAGGCAGAGGGCCTTCTCGGTAGTGGCGCCCGCCCTGTGGAATGCCCTCCCATCAGACATCAAAGAGATAACCATTACCTTCTATGCTGTTACTATTTTTTTTATTTTTTTTTACATAAGTAAAAAGTGACCTTTCCCCATCTGGCATGGTGGTGTGCCTCGATATTTTTTTCATGAAACAAGTGTGCCTTTGCCCAAAAAAGGTTGGGAAACACTGCATTACCAGGCTCAAATAAACTTATTAATATTGGTGCATAAAGCCCTGAATGACCTGGAACCCAAGTATCTGAAGGAATACCCCACCCAGTCATTAAGATCCACTAGATATGTCCTCCTTCAATCTCCTGGCAGTAGCTGTGGGTGGTGATGCATACTCAAGAGTAGACCCATTGTACTTAATGAGCAGGACTATTTTATGCCTATTAAGTGGCTCTACTCTAAGTTGGAAACAACCCATAGAACTCAATGGGACTTACTTCTTTTAGACATGCACTGGTTTGTGCTGTTAATGGGTTAGCTCTCCTGTTGCCCTTTTTTGTAAGGCATTCTGCAAACTTACTAGCTGAAGAGCAAAAAAATAATATTTTTAATACAATAAGACACATACACACCACAGGAATGGCGCCCTCCCTCAAAGTACCCTCAACAATTTTTAACTACTATTTCCTGTCTTCAGCCTAAATTTGTATTGCAGTGGAAGGTGTGTGTATTTGTGCACTGTATGTACAAGACGGGGAACAGGGGAGAACCTCTTATTTGGTTGTTTTTTTGGACTGCCATCAGAGGTTTCAGGCATATCTGAGATTCCACCGCCAAAAGAATGCCACAAGCCTTCCTCTACCTCAGCCAAGTCTTCTCATACATGATTCCATTTATAAATATATTATATGTCCTCTGTCTGCCGGTTCTTTTTCTTTTTTTCTAAAAGAACTTTATACCTGTCTGCAGACTCCCTCACAAATACCTACCGGTGGGAGGAAAGGGAGATTTCCAAAGCGATTTACCTCAATTCACCTTCCAAGAATTGCATAGACAGGATACTGGAGACCAAAGCGGGCGGCGTGTGTGTGTGTGTGTTTTTCCTTGCTTAATAAAGTCACAACTATCCTGTATAAATAACCACAGACTTGACTAGGAACAGGGAAAATGTGATTATTATTTTGTTTGTTTGTTTTAAGGGAAGCAGTCTCAAATAGATGTGTGTTTTGGAATTTCCTCCTCATAGTTCCGTTCCTCGTGGGGTTCTTAATTCATTTCCCATGTATGGATGTCTGGTTCTCTTGCAAATGTCAAAAGTGGCATTCTTGTGGCCTTGTTTTCTTGACCTTGTGCGTGGTCGTTTTGTGGTTTGTATTTCTTCCGGTGCAAGTTTTATGCTAAAGGGCACTTGAGGATTTTCTGAAACTCTCTCTCTCTCTTTATGCCGCGAATCTTTAGGTCGGCCACAATAACAACCCTTTCCCCCATCCCAGCTGAAGTTTGAACACTTTCATAGTGTGGCATTAAATTACTCACTGAAAACAACAATAATAAGAAAAGTACTAACTGCCTGGAGAACTTAACATGACCACATCTTTACAGGAATGTTGCTCATATTGTAAAGTGACGGGGCCTTGTCTCCCACCTCCATTTCATTCTCACAACAATCCTGCAAAATAGGCTACTCTGAGGGAGAGAATTCCCTAGTGAGGTTCACGGCTCAGAACCGATTTGAACCTGAGTCTGAAGACCTAACTGAAGACACATTTCTTTATCTTGGCTTTTGACACTGGAGATGCGTATTTTAGAACCCACCTTATTCCTGAATTTTAAAGTTGCTTTAAACTTTTTAAAAAAATATTAATATTGTGGTTTAATTGTCATAGCCCACCCTGGGACCTGAAGGTAAAGCGTGCGTAATAAATTGTAAACATCGTCCTATCCCAACCTGACACTCTAACCACTACACTGCACTACTTCTCCTGTATTTAGGACACAAATCACTGGCATATTTTGTATATAGTACGGGGGAGGGGGACAACGTGTTGCTTGTTTAAATAAATGTTTTAATACATTTTTATTGATATATATTTTTATGTCTGCTGCTAACCACCTTCTTGAGATCTTGCTATGGTTTCGAAAAGTGGAATACCAATTTTAAATCAGTAGACAAAATAAATATTAAAGTTATGAAACCGTCGCTGGCTGGCGAGGGCTGATGCTGAACCCATTTTCCACCTGTGGCTTTTTGCTGGCTACAGAATTCCCTGGCCGGCCTGGGGCACATTTCTGTCTTTCACCTGTGGGTCAAAATGGAAAGGAAAAAAAAAACCCACCTCTCTGTTGCCTGGAGCGCCTTAGAAGAAGAGAAGGGTACAAATGTTATTTTTCTAAATACATTTTTACTCATATTTCGCAACCCCAAGCTCTTTAGTGTGAATTTGGAAAAGCGAGGTGTCTCTGGGTTTTGCCGCTGCTGTTTCATGAAGCTAATTTTGGCCTGCCTTTGCCAACAGCATGGCGAGAATTACCGGATCGAAGTATTCGAGGGCAGACACTTTAGTGGTCGCAGCCAGGAGTTCACCGAAGATTGCTCTTGCCTGCATAGGCAAGGCTGGGCCAAAAACTGGATCAACGCCATCAAAGTCTATGGGGATGGAGCGTAAGTAACTCACGGGTGTCAAAATAATACAAGGGCAACCTGCAATAAATGGTTGCTGCATGTAATCCTCCTTTTAGCCCTCTTCAGAGTACTCCATTCCATTCTTCTTCCAGCTGCCACCATTTTCCTATTCCCTGCACACTGAGCATACTCAGCCCCCATCTTGCTGTTTTCTTTTGGGGTGAGTCATTTGCCTCTCTGGGTTCCCCTGAGCATGTTATTACCTCATCTCTCTGTGTCTGTGTGTGTGCATGTACGGTGGCATTTCCACTACGTAACCACTAGCACTTGGATAATTCAGATTGCTATTGATGTAGTTGCTAGTTTGGTCAGTCTGGACGAAACTGGATCCCTTCTGAACCTGCAACTCTGCATCTGCGAGGATAGAATACATAACTTGCCAAACCAGTTCCTTTGTCAAGGTTTGTCAATGCCAGTTCCTTTGACTGGCTGGTTAAGTACCTATCGTCTGCATCTCGAAAGGGTGAGCTCTGTTGCCATAGAAACAAATGGGCAGGCCTTTCGCTACCCACCTCACCTGCCTGGTAGATGAGAGATCAAAGCCGGAGTTGTGTATGTGAGCTGAAAGCTGGAGAGAGAGAGAGATGTCTTGCTTTGTGCTGGACTTTGGGTCTCTGGAAACCGACAGGGGAAGCAAGAACTGTTGGGGTCAGGGCTGGCCCACCCTTGTGGCAAGATGAGGCGACTGCCTCAGGTGGCAGAATCCATGGGGCAGCAGATCCATCCTCCAATAAATGCATTGCTCGCTGCTGCTGCTGCCGGACTCCATCTCCCATCAGCCCCTGACAGCCAGCATGGCTAAAGGTCAGCAATGATGGGAGCTGGTCCATCCACGTCTGGAGGGAGATAGGGGGCTCACCACCCTGATACAGATGATGACAGCTCTGACTCTGCAGTTCCATGCCCCTGCTGCTTTCTGTAGCTTTTACCAGTCCCTACCCTTCTTCAGTCATCTCCCCTTACAGGTTAAACCTACTCCTAAGTGGATTTCTCATCTCTCTTGTATGTTCCAGGGTTGGGTCTAGGACTTAATATCCACTTCCTCTACACCTGATGTCAGATGTGGGGCAGGAAAAGATGTGGCTGGTTGAAAAAACGGGGTTTGCAAGCACTGCTGATCAGTTCAAAGTCAGCATAAACAACCCAGAGCCAGATGGACCAATTGTCGGTGTCACTATAAGGCAGCTTCCATTTGCTTTCTTCAAAAAAGCCATGTACAGTTATTGATTTATTGATTTTTTATTTTTTGCATATCTACAGGGTATCCCCTTTAAAAGATACCAAAACTCAGCTCTCTGCTCCCCTGACATTCCACCAACCCTGGGCTTGGGTCTATGTGTGGAGTCCTTACTGTAGTAATAATAAATAATTGCAGGTTAGCATTATCCAATCCAGCAGTTCCGTCATAAATGTTCATCTGAGGCAATAAAAACATTTGCATGTGGCACGAGAGGATCAGCTTAAGAAGCCTCTTTATTCTGGAAAAGATTAACACCAATTATAGCTTCCCCACTATAGTTCCTTCTCGCATTCTTGCTTTCTGATCCTTTGTTCTAGAAGTGCCAAACTGGAAGAGGCCAACAGTCTTGCTGTCCCTCCCTCTGTCCCAAAAACATTTCCCCTGAAAACCGGCGATCACGCAGAGTTGTATTTCCATCATCGCTCTGACCAGGAACAAATGTTCTCTTGAGGGGGTGGAAAAAAACAAAAATCATCGTGTGTGTCTCACCCTTTCACCAGTGATGGAGTTGTCATGTTATGATGTCATTGGCTCGTTCTCTCTCTCTCTCTCTCTCCTCCCCCACTATCTCTCTGACCTCATGGTACCATGCGCTTCCTTCGGACAAACAAACACAATCGGAAGGCACAACTTGGATGTGCGTGCCTGGGAGAGAGCTGGAGCCCTCTGTCCGAGCCAGAGAGTGCTTGGCTTGTGTGAGGCACAGCTGGAGCTCTGGTTCATGCTGCTTCGTGCTTCCGTGCCAAGGGAACATCACTTAGGAGGGCAAAAAGCAGAACTTCAAACCTGGGGAAGCAGAACTTCAAGCCTCCTCAACCTGGGGCTCTGACAGATGCTACGGGCCACAGTCTGGATTGGGATGGTGGTAGTTCCTGCGGCTAGGTAGAGAAGCAGGATGGCGACAACCGTTCTGGGCTCTCTGGCTGAAATGCCCAAAGTGCTTGCCAGATGTACTCTGTGGCCAGGGAGGAGCCTTTCCTTCAAGGCTTGGCAACTGCAAGGCTGTTGTTAGTTGTTTTATTTTAAAGTACCCTCTGCTTGAGACCCTGGAGAGCTGATAGACAAGAGAAGCAATAGTGGATTAGATCAGGGGTCGGCAACCTAAGGCCCATGGGCCGGAAGCAGCCCACGGAGGCCGTTTAACCAGCCCCTGAGCTGCCCCCAAGCTGAGCTGCCCGCTTGGTGAGTCCCCGCGTGCTGCACTAAACTGGCGTGGCACAGCGCAGGGACTCCCTTCCACGGCTCCAGAAATTGCTTCTGCGCACGCCCAGACACCAGAAATCGCTTCTGTGCAGGCACAATTTTCAACGTCTGGGCATGGGCAGAAGCGATTTCAGGCGCCGCGGACATGCGCAGAAGTGATTTCCGGTGTCGTGCTGCGCCGGCCCGGCCCACAAAGGATCTCCGCAGGAGTGATCCGGCCCATGACTGGTAAGCCTTGCTGACCCCTGGATTAGATGGAGGAAGCATCTGGCCTGGAGCAAGGCAGCTTCCTAAATCCCTAACAGCCATGCAGGTGAAAGTCCTGTGGCACCTTGAAGAAGTAACAGATTTATTACAGCATCAGCTTTCATGAAATAAAGTCCACCTCATCAGATGCATGAAGTGTTATCCTCAGTTGACGGATATACAGTCGTACTTTGGAAGTCGAACGGAATCCGTTCTAGAAGTCCGTTCGACTTCCAAAACGTTTGAAAACCAAATCGCGGCTTCTAATTGGCAGCAGGAAGCTCTTGCAGCCAATCAGAAACCGCAGAAGCACCGTCAGATGTTCGGGTTCCAAAAGAACGTTCGCAAACTGGAACAATCACTTCCGGGTTTGTGGCATTCGGGAGCCAAAACGTCCGAGTTCCAGGGTGTTTGACAACCAAAGTACCACTGTATTGTTACAAAAGTTGGGCACCATCCCCAATCTCTGCCAAGCCATGGCAAGATTCCAGGGGGTTCCATGTGCTCACCCAGGATCTGTGCTCCTTTGAGAATCAAAACACAGTGGAGACTGTCGTAGCGTTAAGAAATAGGATTTATTCACATTTATATTACATGGAAATACAAGACGGTCCCATATTATACAGGATGGGTGGCAACCCTAGTCATGACCCCAGAATTCCGCAGGGAGTCAAGGAACAACTGAACCTCTACATTGCCAGATTCCACAGCACCCAGGGTTTATAAAACCAGAGGCAAACCCTCACTGGTGCTTTCCTTTGGGCCTGAGGAACCAAGTGCCTCCCACAGTACTCTGAAAGTCCAGTGGCACAGGAGGTGCACCAGGTGGGCAGGGCAGGAAGCGCAGGAGTGCCCATCTGTAGCTCAGAGGGTTGGCCTAGGAGAGATGGGCAGCAGGCAGAGGCTCAAAAGGTTTAGCTTTGCTTCCAGCCTTTCTTAGAGCAAATTGCTCACTAGGCGCTATCCTTGGTGCTGAGACAACCACCTGCCTTGAGCGATGGGCTCTTCTGCACAACTAGAATAGGGCATATGTGGTGGGGCATGTACCCCAGTGCTCATATAGAACCTCTGGCCAGAAATTATGTGGATTGGCCACTAAGTCCTGTGTATGTTATTAAATGTATTTATGAAAAAGAGGATATCTTAAAGCATATTTTCTGCAGCCTTTTCATATTAACGTTCCCAACATTAAGAACTTTGGGGGTTGGCTGAGCGAGTAAATTTGATAGATGTCTAGGTCAATGAACTTATAACAAAACATATTACAAATTCAGTATCTCCAAAACACCCAAACACAATTAAATAATCAACAGAGATCTAAAATAAACACATTAAATACAAACATATGTGCAAGATAAACATTAAACAAATGGGAGGTGTGCGTACTAATTCACATCGAGGAAAAGATAATGCATTTGTTAAACTGTATGTATAAGGTGAATAAACGGTGATCAGTTGTTTTAAAAAACTCTTTCTCCTTTTTGTCTGCCATCTCCCAGACATACATATGTTGGGTTTAATGTCTTCATCACTGCTGCTTTCTAAACCTTTGGTTAACCAATCCTTCAGAAAAGGAGCAAGTCCATCTCTCCACCTTGGAGTCACCAGAATTTTAGCCGTCAAATGCCAACTGGAGGAAACTAATATGGCACCATAACCATCTCTGAATGTGGCTTGGAGTGTTTTGACCAGAAAACATTTTGTTTCTGTTTCAGATGGGTGCTGTATGAGGAACCTAACTATCGTGGCCAGATGTATGTGGTCGAGAGAGGTGACTACAGCAGCTGCAGTGAGTGGCAAGCTGCCTGTGCAAACATCCAGTCAATCAGAAGGGTTGTCAACTATTTTTAGCTAACTGCCTGGTGAAAACGGAGAGTCTGGACCCTTCCCTACTGGTCTCTTGAAATGTGAAATAATAAAGACTTGAAATCCGATGTGCCTCTTTTGCATTCCTCCACATGCCCAGGCAGGTCACTGGCTTAAGCAGTCCAGGGCCTGATAGCGCACTGTATGGGTAGCCGCCGTGGACCAGCCAATTGAGGTAGGAAGGTGATTCTGTTTGGGGAGAAGAAGTTGCCATTGTTCATGGAATGGTGCATTCTGAAGGCTCACAATATACAGATACAGAGATGGGTAAGGAGGTTGTTACTTGAACTCTAATGATGTAAATATAATTACGGGGTTTGATGACCCTTAACAGGGGCACGGAAAGCTGCTTTTTGTCACAAGACCGTTTAGACATCCTCTTTCTAAATGTAAAGGTGAGCACATGCCCTCTGAGAAAAGCAAGATGAAAAAGGAAATCGACTCGTGATGGACTTCAACACGACCTGGGCTTCTGAAATCGAGAGCATGGCTGCATCGTCGGGAATGGGAGCAAGTCAAAATGGCAGGGAAGTCCAAGCTGTTAGTTGCTGCTTGGAGTGCCTTGCTGAAAAATAATAATAATAGAAACCTAGTGCTGGTATTGGTGGGGTGGGGTGCGGAGACTTGCAACGTGCTGGGGCAACTGCCAGAGGAAGCCACGTGTTGATACTGACCCTGGTATGAGGTCTCAAAGGAGCACAGGAGGCAGTCAACATTAAGTGACCACGCTCCTAAAGGCATTGCATGATATTCTCTGCAAGATCATCCATTGGCTGTTTATTTTATTTTATTTTATTTTTTAAAAAAATATTTATTAAAGGTTTTAAACAATACATCAGCCAACACATAAAACACCATCACCAACATGGAGAAAAAAGAAAAAAAGAAAGAATAAAGGAACAAGGGAAACAAAGAAACAAAGGGCTTCCTCACATCTCCCTTTCCTGCGTTCCCATTTATAAAATTATATTCAGCAGTACTTCACCTTCTTTCAAGTCTTATTTTGTAATTTTCAGAAATTTGTGTCTCCAATTTTGAGCTTTACTTTCAAATATTTGAATCTTTGATTTTAACCTGCTATTTATCAAAATTTCAACCTTGTTCTTGCGATTCACTTATTTTCATGCATCTTTCCACTAATTTATTAATGCCATACTATTTTCTATCCTGCATCATCTTAACATTCAAACAAATTACAATACTTTTGCAAATAGTCCTTGAACTTTTTCCAATCCATTGGCTGTTTAGACCAGGGGTGAAGAACCTCAGGCATGGGATTGAATGTGGCCCTCCATGCCCCTTTCCCTGGCCCTTGGATTTCTCCCCAGGCAGTACCCCTCACTGACCCCCACTTTGCACTCCAAAAGCTTCTGCTGGGCTGGGATGTGTTCTTCCATTCCTATATTGGAGACAGAGAGGATAGAGAGAGTTGCGTGTTGGCATGTGAAGAAACGAACCTACTGTGTGAAGGGGAAATGGGCAGGACTTCAGGGGTGGGCCTTGGTAATATGCTACCCTGTTATGAGGCCATTTGATGCCCCCTACCGGGCGTTGGGAAGGCACCTTTTTCGGCTGTGCACTCCTGCAACCGTACCACTCGCACTGCCCTAAATCCACTTCCGAGGGCTTTCTCTGCCTGCTTTTGTCTCTGATCCCATTCACCACTGGCATGCGGCCCTTGAAAGGTCGTTCAGAAGGGAATGTGGCCCTCGGGCTGGAAAAGTCCCCCCACTGCCGGTTTGGACTCATCTGCATGATGGATGCCCACAAATGCTGGCGGCGGTGGCGCTGCTATAAGCCACTCTTGCTAATCTCCTGGAGAGTCTGATGAATTAGCTACTTTGATCTGTCACTTTTACGGGGATCTTATCTGGCTTGCCAGTTCTAGAGGGCAGATGGGCTGCTAGCTCTTGGCAAATGGAGGTTCTGCTCCTACACACACACACTGCCCTGGACTTCACCCTGTCTGTGAGCACAGAGAAGAGGGAGGTGTCTGTTGTTCGTGACAGTGCAGCCTCAAATCAGCAGAACTTGCAGGGTTTCTTTGCAACGCCATGCTGCCGCTGCTGCTCATTAATGCCACTTTTGAACTGCAGCAAAGCACAGGCTGACAGGAACGCAAGGAAACGAGAAGCAGGGAGCGATGTCTGTAAGATCAAGGAAATCTGCCGTGCTCTGGCAGCAGCCATGAACTGCGCTTGGAGAGTTCACAGAAAGTTGAGGTGGTGAAGACTATGTTTAAAAGTTTGACAGACGCCCGAGTTACTGCATGCTGTCTTCACAACGACCCTGTGAGGTAGGCCAGTGTGAGAGAGCGTGTGTACTCGTGTCCCAAAGCCGTCACGGACCTTAATGGCTGGTCAAAGTCCACTCCATGACACATTTCATCCCGTTGGCGGTATAGATGCGGAGGGGTCTGGGTGCAGAAGCAAGACTCCAACCTAGAAAGGGGCAGGAAGCCAAGGAGGAGTTCCCCTGTCAGACATCAAGAACACTCTGAGCATATTCTATCCACATTATAAGGCACATTATGCCATGTAAGCAGTCATAAAGGTAAAGGTAAAGGTACGCCTGACCGTTAGGTCCAGTCACAGACGACTCTGGGGTTGCGGCACTCATCTTGCTTTATTGGCCAAGGGAGCCGGCGTACAGCTTCTGGGTCATGTGGCTAGCATGACTAAGCCGCTTCTGGCAAAACCAGAGCAGCACACGGAAACGCCGTTTACCTTCCCGCCGGAGTGGTACCTATTTATCTACTTGCACTTTGACGTGCTTTCGAACTGCTAGGTTGGCAGGAGCAGGGACCGAGCAATGGGAGCTCACCCCATCGTGGGGATTCAAACTGCCGACCTTCTGATCAGCAAGTCCTAGGCTCTGCGGTTTAACCCACAGTGCCACCCGCGTCCCTGTAAGCAGTCATAGTCTTCCCCAAAGAATAATGAGCTACACACAGAGCCACAAATTCCAGCACTCTGAAGAAACTACACCTCCAATTACATCAAGGATGGAACATTTATGACCCTCCAGATGTTTTAGAACCAGTTACCTCTGACCATTAGCCATCGTCTGCTAAAACCTCTTGTCTTTCCCTACTGTCCCCCTTGCAAAGCTTGTCTGCATAGCCGTGGCTAAGGGAGTTGTCTCTGAAGGAATGTCAGAAAATTTCTATGTCCTCATCTAGAAAGAAATCGGCCCCCTTTAATAAGTGACCAAGGCAAAGAGGTTGCCTTGGGGCAGAGGAAGAAAATGACTCGTGCCACCCTGACTGGGCTGCAACATGCAAGATTCAGGCACTGATGCTCTGTGCCCGATTCCGCACTCTCCTAAAATTATTTTCCACTTGCAAACTGCATTCCGTTCAGGGCCAGCGTAGCTCACTAGTCTCCTTTTTTTTTATTGCTCAAAGTGCCATTAAATATTTCTGTTTAGAACCGTACATTCTGGCTCCAGCATGACCTCTTGCCTTGCTAATCTGTCAGCAATTCACAGCTTGGGCTTTTTCGCAGACGTGATTTCAATAGAACAGTGACCTATTTCTTATTATTCCGTCTTTTTGAGGAGGTTGTCATTTGGGACTAGGAACGGAGAGCAATAAAGTGGGAGAGAAAGCCAGTGATTTAAAACGGGAAGAACTCTCTCCGTGCTTGAAATAATAATCATAATAATCATCAGCTGACTCTTGCAAAATGCGGGTGTTTAACAGGACGGAAGGCATCCATGCTGAATGCATTCTGTAATGAATCCCTTTCCTCCACTGCGGCTAACCTTAGGTTGACTCTGCCCTGCAAGTGAACTCGTGCCTGCTGTCCTCAGCTTGCATAGCACAAGGAGAAATGCTGAGCCGAAGTTCTGGGTGCCACGTGGGCAGGATATCTTTCTCGGTGGTTCCTATAGGCACTTTCCAGCTCAGTCTCTTCTTCTGGGCCCAACCTACCAATACCAGCTGTTGTGGAGGGGCAGATCTGCCCTCTGAACACCAGCACCGCTGCAACTTATCTGGATGGTGCAGTGCGACAGTGAGATTGCACTAATGTATAAGACAAATAATAAATGTTGGAAATGTAAAGAAAAAGAAGGAACATTTTCTCACATGTGGTGGGAATGTAAGAAAGTAAAGAACTTCTGGGAAATGATATATAATGAGATGAAAAAGATTTTGAAATATACATTCTTTAAAAAAAACCAGAAGCATTTTTACTTGGAATTATAGGCCAAGACATTAATAGACAAGATGTCAAACTGTTCTTATATGCAACAACAGCGGCAATAGTATTGTTAGCCCAGAAATGGAAGCAAGAAGAAATTCCGACGAAAGAAGAATGGCAGACAAAATTAATGGACTATGCAGAATTGGACAAAATGACAGGAAGGATTCGAAACCTGCGGGACCAGATATTTACAGAAGATTGGAAGAAGTATATGAATTATTTGAAGAGCAACTGTAATCAACAAATTACGCTAGTAGGACTACAAGAAGTTTTGTAAGGAGAAATATACGAAGTGTTACAAAGTAGAAAAAGATAGAGATATTGGTTATGAGTTTGAAATGTAATAGGGAAAATAAGAAATGCATACTGAGAGATTAGATTGGAAAATTTTCAGACAGGACTGATGGAAGTCAAAAAATTGAATAAGATGTAAAAGTATGTTTAATTACTGTTGAAAATGATATGTTAAAAAACTAATAAAAATTTATATATATATAAAAAAAGAGATTGCACTGGAAGAGCCATTCTGGTGCCACCACCAGTATGTCCCTGCAGCCCCAAGCTTGCAACCACCCTGCCCCCACCCGCCCCATCCTGGTATGCAGATAGTGATGCAGGTGTCAGGAGGGTGGTTCTGCCTAACCATTGGCATACCCCTCAAATGTCCGGAAAAAACTGGGATGTTCCATTTTCCCTCGCGAGAGCATGGCGGCCATTTTGGGCGCCATGACCTCACACAATTTCAGTGCAAAGGTTTCCTCTTAAAAATCAATTCCTTTGAGATTTGGGCAGTACAGTAGCATTGCTGTTGTTGTTGTTGTTGTTGTTTGTAATTGCATCTCAAGCATTTTGTGCAGCTG